GCCTCCATCCTCACATCGCCTTTTCTCTTCAGCTCGAGGCATCCCTCTTTGTCCTTGTTGTTTGTTTACTCTGTTTTCTCCTCTTCATGAATGTCAGCAATTAGAGTTGGGGCCAATGTTAAGCAGGTATGATCTAATTTAAGCTTTACTTTGATTATGAAACCAAGCTAGCTTTTTGTATTGTTCACCCAAAGAGTTCCTGTGTCCCCACTAGACTCTGTGAGCACCACCTTTGAATGTACTAACACTGTTCTATTTCCTTATCTGTGGACATTTAAGCTGGGTGGGGGCTACAGCTAGCACAGGGGCCCTTGGAAGGTGTATCACCAAGCCAGCCTTTGACTCTAGAATGACTGAAGTACCTGGCTCAGTGAACTGAGCAGCCACTGGGTTATGTTCCCAGTGGCCACATTCCTGTACCTCCTACATAGGGTACAGTTCATATTATGCTTCTTTATTAGGCTGAGAGCTGTGCATGGAACCAGTGGTAGGCTTGCTCTTTGTTTTTGAAGAGTTAAGGATTTTTTCAAAGCAAAAAAACACATTTTGTATTCAATCCTTGGCCCTAGGAATCTTCCTCCTCCAATGTCTTATTTATACAGCAGAAAACCTTCAGTATACTTGTCAATCTTATTGTGCTGCCTATTTATCTATACATTCTGTTGACTTTGTAGTAACCTTTGTAGTGTAAATGGTCTCGGATTTGGCTTTACTTTCTTGATTGTTTTGCACTGATGTAAAATAGAGTTCTGGGTCCTTGATTACAGCGAGGTATGACATCACCCTTTTGCATAAAGTGTCATCAGGGGCATGTTTGTCCTTTTAGGTCTTCATCTGAACTCCTTCTGAGAAACTAAGTCTTTCCTCCACTCTTTGTAAATTTGCTTTGAGGAATATTACTTCAAACAGAAAAAATGAATTGGAGCCATAATCTTTTAAAATGAATGTGACTGTGACTTTATGCATTTATCAATATTCACCACTATCATAGTTCCTTAGACATTGGGATGTGCCCAACATTTTCATAGCATACCTTTCAAAGGGAAGAGCAGGAAGATGTCTTCCCTTTTTCGCTAGTTCAAGTGACATCTTGAGTAGTTATTGCATAGTGAGCAATTGATTTTTCTAAGTTGTAAAGTAGATGAAATAAATAGATTAAGTTTGTCGTCTAATCAGGAGAAATTCTCAGCATTTGATTTCCCCACAGACATTAGTGTGTGTAATTATGACTTCTTTAGTATGGAAACACGCCAAAACATGTGTTCCGTGGGAATCAGCACAGTAGCAGTTACATTTCATGCTCCAATGACTTGACATCAGCGGGATGCCTTGTCCAGTGGCTTGTTCCTCTTCGCTCAGCTGCTTCTGCTCAGGCCCCTGGCCATCTATCCATTCTCTGAACACATCTCTTCCCATCTGTAGCCTTTGCAGTCACTATTTCCTCTACTTCTTCTCTCATGAGTTCTTTACCTTGAAGCCAAATTAATACATTACATGCTTTCTCAAGGCGAGATGATGCCCTGTTTTGTATCGATGAGCAAGTGAATGAATAGAGGGGAAGAGCCAGGGTTCCACAATGCGTGACTGTGAACTTGGTCACGCTGCTGTCACTCAGAGGCTTAGTTTAATTATTTTAAAAGGAGAATGATCATTACTCCTGAAAAATAATCTGACTAAAGATGTATTTGAAGTCCTTTGCCTATAACATGGAAATAACAGTCAATGTTGAGAGAATTGTTGTGTGCCTTTTTTTTCCCTATCGTGTAGTGGTTGAATCCGGCGCACCTCCTTGTCAATAGATCATGGTTGAGAAACCATGAGCCTACTGTGAACATCAGCAGTGTTTTTTTTCCAAACCCAATAAATGAAATATTAAAACAGCAAAATATATCTAATAGTGAAATAGTTTATTTGAATTTATTTCATGTTTTAAGAGGCAGATGGAAATCAAGCGACAGATAGAGGGAGAAAGAGGGGAGGGATAAAAAGGGAGTCGAAGGGAGAGACCAAGGTAGGGTTTTTTCAGATATAGACTCTGGAAGGTGGCTTCTGGAGGGTGAGCTTAGGCTGTCTTCCGTGTCCACACCCTTGCACAGTTTCTAGTAGACACCTTAGGGACAGAATTATTTTTACAGACTGATGATTTCTCCAGAAACTTACTGTACTTAGTAATTTTTGGAATTAATTTTGGAACCTTAGGCAGAAGGATCTTGTTATTATCATATAACGAAAGGAAAAAAGCTACACTGGAAAAGTTTAGAGTTAATTAGGGTTACTCGTAGGACAATCTCCATGCAGTGACAATCAGTTTTGATATAAATGCTAACATCCTGGCATTCTGTTCCATTCTTCCACTCTCATTTTTGTTTGTTCTACTTTAGAGTATTTTTAAGCCAACAGCAGGAAGCTTATGTTCCATTCATAAATATTTCAGTGTACATCTCTATTCAGCAAAGACCTTATTTTTAGAAAAATAGGTAACTAAAGCTCACTATGGTTAGGTCTCTGGATGTAGTGAGGGTTCAGGAGAGACTGAAAGAGATGCCAAGGGAACAAGGAATGTATTAGAAAGCTTATCGATGCCATGGATAGACAGAGATGCAGTAACATGGCGGACTTGGAGGATTGGCCAGGGCCTGGGATGGGAGCATCTCTGAGGCGAATCAGCCCCATGTGCCACAGGAAAGAGCCTCCTTCTACAGCTCTCCTGGGTTCACAGCCAGAGCTGTACTTAGTCTCTCAGATTCCCTGGCAGGAGGTAGGGGAGGGGTGGGGTACAGGATGTGGTGCGTCCCTTGATATAAAGTCACTTCGGGTGAGATGTCCAGCTCAGGCTCACAGACACTGTACCCGAAGGGCATAGGTCAGTAACTGAAAAAGGGGAGCTCTGCAAGGTAGCAGCCCAGTTCTAACATCTCATTCTTGAAATTAAAATAAAATAATTTCTTATAAGGGTTTAATAACCAGTCTGTATTGGATAAAGTTTTGAAATGTATGAGTCTGTTTAATTGATTTGTGTGCATGCATGTGTGTTTGCGTATAATTTAGGGCCGTGTGCATGCTAAATAAGTGCTCTACCACTGAGTCATATTGACAGCCCAATGAAGTCTATTTCCTATCTCTTTAAGTCAGAATACGAAAACAATACACTGGCTGGATTTTTGACTATGTGTATTGTTTATTATGCTTAATATGTGACAATTCCGTTTCTGTACTATTTACTACCTGAAGAATTGTAAAGTCAATTACTATATAACGATTATTATATCTACATAATACATACTATATACTATTTTATAGACACACACACACAGAGAGAGAGAGAGAGAGAGAGAGAGAGAGAGAGAGAGAGAGAGAGAGAGATTTGTATATGTGGTGAAAGAGCTGGCCACATTGGCCCTCCTCCCGTAGAGCACCATTGGGCTTCTGCTGGTTGGAGGCTTTCAGCTCCTGTAGTCTCTCCCAGTCCTTTGTAATCCACACCAGACCACACCGCACTGCACCAATCAAAGCAATCTCTTTATGCTGCTGGCCTCGTACACCGAGCTTCAAGCCATCATCCCTAACCCTGCTTCCACTATTACACAATGAGAATGGAGGATTTAAGTGGATCTCAAAATCCTAAAACGACCCGAGTCTTTAAATAAATGTTTCGTTTTATGTGCTGTTTTCACTTAAGTACTGATGCAAGCTAAATATTTAAACCTTTTCCCCCCAGCATAGGATTGGCTCCTCAGGAGTTTGAAAACTCCTAAATTAACCCGAGACTCCATGAACCAACATTTCTCTTTGCTTGAGCATTTTGGTTCAGCTGCTTTTCCACTCCCGCACTTCACCGGCATTTCCCATAGCTAGCTTCCCCTACCACGTTGACAACATGCCTGAAAAGAACTTCGGGAACGATGTGGTTTGCTCATAGTTTGTCAGGGAAATTGCCACAGAGTGGCTAACAGGGGACAGCTGTGGCTTCATTTCACGGCAAAGCACAAGTTAACGACTTCAAACCAGGTGCCTACAATCCTACGTCGGTGAACCAGCCACCAGTTAGGGATGAAGCTTTTGGACACAAGACTCGGTGGGAGAAATTTCACAGCCAAATCACAGCAACAGCTTCTATCCCCTGTGCGAAGGTCTGATGTGTGATGGCTTCCAGACAAGCTGTCAGAGGACACCAGTCTTCTGTGACATATGGGCCATCATTTGGCTTCTCTGTGTCACCTGTGTAGATGGAGGCGAACGGCCTGCCAGCGTTGTGAAATAAAGTAACAGATGTGTAATCAGCTTGTAAAGTGCATGGGTCTATTTAAACGAGGTACTACTATGCAGAAGGACATGCTGAATTATGCATAACATCTTCTCTTAGGCCTTCATGCACTTCCTCTGCTGTTTCTAACTCTGTGTTTCCTTTCAAATTAATTGCTAGTCATCTGTGTCTGAAAAGCCTTTTTTATATCATTTGTCATATCACATTAAGGGCGTTTTGTCCACATCTCTGTCTTCTGTGAGATTCTAAGAGAAACCTCCATTTAATCCAGGCGCGGCATGCTGCTAACTCTCACTAAGAGTCTACTGAGTCAGGTTGGGTTAATTGGGATAGTTATCATCTTTGTGTTTGCCCTGAAGGACAAAGTCCATGTCTATCCAATCATTTGGACTATTCTCTAGTAACTGACCACCCTCGGAAGTTGTTAAAGCTTTTATGAAGATAATCGTGATGCAACATTCATGAAAATGAAGTCCTATATTTTTCTGATGTGAAGGATCAGAACTCTTGGGCATATTATTGGCAATTTTATCTGACCAACAGTGAAAGAATCTGAATGTAGGCTGCTTAGAATTTAAGACACTTTAATGCGCTTCACTGGGGCAGTAGGTAGCGGGCCAGTCTCACAAAGTGCTTTTACTTGCTGGAAAAGACTTAAACCTTTGAGAGAAGACGTCACCTTTTGTCCCACACCTTGGGCTCTCTCAATTAACTGGAACTCTCTGCTCTTTTATAGCTGGTTTGCCATCCACCCCGTCAGCATGAACAATAGCAACCACCTTGTGAACAGCGACAATATGGGCTACGCAGCCTACCTGTTTGAGCAAGAGAAGAACAGAGGATATCTACCTGGACAGGTGAGAATCAACGTCCCTGAAATCTTCACGTTGATTCAAATGTCAAGAGTAAAGTGTTTTCATGGATAGGAAGAATTCACTGGCCTGGTTAAATGACTCATTTTTAAGAGTATTTGCTACTCTTACAGAGGACAGGGCTTGATTCCTAGCACCCATATCAGGAGCCTCACAACCACCTACGACTCCAGTTTCAGGAGATTTGACCTCTCTTCTGGCCTATATGGGAAGTGCTTTACCTGCCCCTCCCCCAACACACAAAGCGATATCTACTTGTCTGTCTATCTATTTTTCTCCCATTGCGGAAAGAAATGTTTCAAATAATCAAGGCACCATTTGTTCTTGGTAGCAGATGTCTCTTATTTGATGGCTTTGTAAATTTACAACCAATTATATGAGAAAGATCAGATTTGTATTTCTGTAGCCTGTAATAGTGTGTGGACAAGCTGGAAATACAATTCACTTCGCTGATGCTAACGTTCATCCTTGGTGATGGAGAGTATTGTGCACCTTCTTGATGGTGTAAAACCATGAATGGTTTTTTAATGATTCAGGGGTTTTCTAGAGAAAACATTCCTCCCAAGGACCTTATTTATCCAACAAAATCCAAGGACCTGGGGAGGTGCCTCATCAGTTAAGAGCATTGTTGATTTTCCAGAGGAACCAGACTCCATTCCCAGCACCCACATTGCAGCTCACAGCTGTGTGTTACTCCAGTCTCAGGGATCCAGCATCATCGTCTGGCCTCCACAGGCACCGGCGTGCACATGGTACATGATCATACATGCAGGCAAAATACCCAAACACATTAAAAATAAACCTAAACCAGCAGAAACCCTAGACACCTGTGACCCTGAAACTCATCTAATAATGAGATACGAAACCAGCAAGCCAATTGAGTTACGACAGGAACCTCTTAAGCTATGGGTAACTAATGTCTACAGATAGACAATGGTGGAGAGACTTCTCTGCTTGGCCATTGGATGCAAGCACCAGATGTAGATGAATAAAGATAATAAGAATCAAAGGCCATAGTGGACGATGACGGTTCTATTATATAGATAGTAACCTCATTTAAAAAACTGATCTTTTAGCCTCTTTTTAGACAAAACTCTCTTTCTCTTTTTTAGTTAGCATTGACTTTTGCCTTATTTTCCCCTTTTTTCTCCCTGGTCCCATCCCTTTCCCCCTCCCTTTCTTTCTTCCTCCCACTCATCCCTTCCCCCCACTTTTCCCCCTGTTTTTGAAAAGGCCTTGCTATGTAGTCTAGGCTAACCTTGAATTTGTGATCTTCCATCCTTAGCCGCCCCCCGCCCCCCAATTGTCAGGATTCCAAGTGGGTACTACCATGCAATCTGGGGAAAGGGTTCCTCTTTATACCTAAAAAGGCCATAGATTTATGTCTTTCTTTAAAAAAAAACTGAAGATGTTTAAAAAATAAACAAACATTGAAGATGGTGGATGAGGTGGGTCCAGATTGATGCCCGGTCTGTCTCTAATCTTGTTGAAGAAAGGAGGAGCTAGCTCACAGGGGGCCAACTCTAGGTGGTGACTGTCAAGGGCATGTAGACTTCTGGGTTTCAAGTAAAGCCTCAGACACTAGATAGATGACTCCACGTTTTGTCACTTGGTGTAGTCTGTGTTTCTTGTCAAATTGTGTATTAGAGGGAGGTATGCCTTTGAAGGGCTGCTTTGAAAACTTTGTAGGTAATTGGATTATTTTCAGCAATATGATCAAAACATGAGCCTTTTCAGGAAACAAAAAATTAGAAAATAAAATAAAAATAAATATAAAATAAATTTTGTTCAGAAAATAAAATAAAAATTCTCAGAATATTGTTTATCTTTTTTTGTCTGTTCATGATTATGTTTGAGGGCTGGAGGGATAGTTCAGTTAGTAAAATACTTTCTGTACCTAGCATTCAAGCCAAAATTTGGGCATGCTTATAATCTCAGTGTAGAAGAGGCAATGGTGGGCAGATCCTGGAGTTCACTGGCCAGGCAGCATTGCCTAGTCAGCAGAGGGACAGTTTGTGAGAGGCTGTGCCTCCAAAACAAACAACGGAATGAGGAAGAGCTTCTGAGGAAAGATACCTGGTTTGACCTCTGCACTTCTCCACACACGTGTGTTTATACAGAAGTTTTGAGTGGAGTGAGTGTTTGTGTCTTTAATGGAAGTCATTACTAAAGAAACAAAATAAAAGGTAATGTGCATTTATTTTGGCAGGGACCATTCGTAGCAGGCTTTGCTTCATCAAATCTCGGAGATGTGTCCCCCAACATCCTTGGTCCACATTGCACCAATACAGGAGAGTCTTGTGACAATGAGAAAAGCACCTGTCCCGTCGGCGGGGTAGGTAGTAAGGGCATGTACTTCGTGTTTGAATATTCATCAATGACATGCAAATGTGTTGTTTTCAAGTACACGCTGGCCCATTGGTCTCCAGTCTCCACTGTGCTCTGAAGCATTTACCCAAGTCCTCTAAATATTAAGTGGGTTTTCTGAGTTTTGCACTGTGAAGTCAAATCTACACAATGATCTTAGGATAATATGCACACCCACCTCTTCAGACATTAATCGTTTTTACATGTTGGGCATTTTGCACCTTTCTTGTTATTTTGAATATAGCATGCATTATTGCCAACAGTTGTTGCCCTACTGTGCTACAGAAACCCAGAACAAATTCTGTCTAGCATTGTTCTGATGCCCTTTTCTGAGTTCTCTCCACCCCTTTCCTCTCCACCTTTCCCGGTCTCTGTTGACTCCTATTCCATACCATTCTTGCATGCGATCAACTTTCTAGCTTTTTACAAGTGAATGAGAGTACGTGGTGTTTGATTTTGTGTGCCTGGGTTATTTCACTGAACAGAAGATCTCCAGTTCCATGCACATTGTCACAAATGAAGGGATTCCACCCCTTTTTGTCGCTGAGAAGCCTTCTACGGTGTACGCATGCTAGTTGTCCGCTGATGGGCACTGTGGTTGATGGGAGCTGTTATGGATAGTGTTAGAGCAAGCAAAGATGTGTAAGAAATGAGTGTAATGAGTTCATCTCTTTTGCATAGGTAAAAGCAGTATGTTTTTCTCTATGAAGAATCTTAAAGTCCCTAATATATTAATTCTTAAAACATTTGTCATAATAGTACAAAAATTCCTTAGTGTATCAATTCTCTTTCAGCCTTATTTAGGTTGTCCCTCCTATATAGATCTTTAAAATGTTTAAGGTGTCATATTTACTAAGATGATTTTTTATTATTTTTAAGTCTTTTTTATTTCTCACACTTATTTATTATTTATTCACCTGCAGTTTCTTTCCATATGTTTTTGTGACATTCATTGTATTTAAGTATTTGGTCAATCTTGGCTTTTCTGCTCTTGGAAACTGGATATAAAGCTGGAGTTGTTCATTTTCCTCCAAAGATTGCTAACTGTTCTAATGTAATCCAAATGAGTTTCCCTATAGGACAGTAAGAGCGAGAGTCCCAGGCAAGCAAGAACAAGTAAGAAGGTAGCAACAGAGGGTAACACCTACCTTCCAGTCCCAGTTAAGAGTTAGCTCCTAGTGTAATGTCCAGCAAATTTCTCAACCAAGCCAAAGCTCTGTTTCCTAATTTTAGAAGGAAGTGCCTGGAATGGATGCATTCTAAAAGCACTCCCTGCTACAAATGCATGCACGATTCTGGTTGCCCTAGCCTGTAAATGGAGAAAATGTTTCAAGAGAAAAGCTAGAATTGACTTAGCACACATAGTTGGTTAGATTCAGTTGTAATTTTCCAGTTGTTAAAACCATCCGTCATCGCACTATGAATCATATTGTCTCATTTTGCTGCAGCCTAGCATGTGCATGGCCAGTGGACCTGGGCAAGATATGTTTGACAGCGCACAGATTATAGGACGGGCCATCTACCAGAGAGCCAAGGTAGGCACGAGCCCAGCGCTTTGCATCTTTGTTTCGTGTTGCTCTTTAAAACCCACAGACATCATTTATGAGGAAGTCCGTATGCAAGAGCTCAGCCTGGCCAGGAAGTCTGAAAGACATGGGTTTGGGAGGTTGCCCTTGGGAGCCACGCAGGACTCTGTCTCATCTGGTCAGACTTCCTAGTGCACTTAAAACCAAGCAGGCAGGAAAATATTCTATTTTAGGATGTTAGAAAGCCTACTGAGCTGACAGATAGATTGTAAAGTGCTCGGTTAATGTGGCCTCATGAGGATTCTCAGAAACCTCTCCAGTCATTGCCTGGCTAAAGGCACCTGACCACTTCTGAACTGGGCCTTCAGCGACAAAGCTGAGCTGAGCATCTCTGGCACCACGAATTCCCATTTATTTGTATACTTTTTTGAAAGGGCAAAGGTCACATCTCTTTTCCCCCTTGTGTTGAAGGGAGAATCTGGCTTTCAATGGGATTGCTATGAATGATTCCATCTTCCTCCTGCTCCTAAAAATTTTGTTTCATGTGTGTGATGGATGTATGTATAGGTATGTGCTTTTATATGTGGGGTGCATGTACTTGCGTGCATGTGTATACATGTATGTGGAGACCCAAGGTTGGGGTTGGGAGTCTTACTGAATTGCTCTCTATCTTGTTATTTAAGAGGAGATGTCTCATAGAACTTGGAACTTACTAATTGGCTAGACTGGCCAACAAGCCCTAGAAATCCTGTCATTATCTCCATAGTACTTGGGTTCTAGAAGCTTGCTTTTCCACCCTACTGGGTTCTAGAAGTGTGCCTCTCTACCCTACTGGGGTTCTAGAAGCATACCTCTCTATGCTACTGGGGTTCTAGAAGTGTGCCTCCTCTACCCAGTTTTGCACAGGTACTGGGAATGGAACTGAGACCTCCATGCTTGTGTGACAGACACATTATGGACAGAGCCATATCCCCAGTGATGTGCTAAATTTTGTATTCTATTCTGTCCCCATTTTTGTATCTGCTTCTACAGAGTTGTATCTGAAAGGAATTGATGAGGAGAAATGGCTTCTAACTGCTATGTCCATGATAGTGTTAAATGCCCTTGTTTTCATGGCTTACACATACGTGTGTGTGTGTGTGTGTGTGTGTGCGTGCGCGCGTGTATGTACACATCTACATTGCCTACTTGTGTTTAAATAGATAATTTCTTCTGAGCTCTAAAATATTTCAGAAGCAATTAAGAAGAACCAAAGTGCCTTTCAAATAATCAGACATAAAATCTATAACCACAGGCAGGCTAATTGCTATACTTCATTTTTATTTACTGTGGTATTATCAGTGGATTATTCTAAATTAACAGATTCATTTTAGGGTGTGCCTGTGACACACTTTGGTACCCGAAATTTTGTTTCTGTCCTTGGCCTAAGAGCAGAAAGAATCAGAGCAGAGAGATTCTGGGCTCTCCTTTTCAGGGAGGCACAACTTCCCTGCTTATCAGGGGAGGTGGGCTGCAGCTGGGACTCCAGTCGCTTATCTTAAAAGGCCACTGGTGGCTGTTATGGAAGTGGCCTAGGTGTCAGGTCAGCGTCCTTGTGCTGAAGTAGGATTTTCCTGTATTGTACAACACAGACGAATAAGCACAACTGTCTCCAAACGTATTAAACTTACATTTCCTGTACTTTTGGGAAAATATCACTGGATTTTTTTAAAAAAAAAAATACAAGAATGCCAAAGACTAGCTGATATTTGAGGGACACAGTGTCTTTGAGCCACTACCTGGCTCCTGTCTTTGGAGAGCTGAGGGGTCATAAGAGGATGCTTTATGCCAAGTCTGCCTGCTGGCAGCCTGGCATTCCAGCGAGTGTGAGGTTGGAGCTTTTACGTCATGATCTGCTTCATGTTAAGTTCTTATTTGGGATGAATTGATGCAGGTCCACATTCCTGGAGGTTTCAGGTTCTGGGAAGCCCTGGAAATGATGAGAGAACTGTGGGGGTGGGAAAGGGGCTGAGGATGCTCTCAAGCAGTGAGTAAGAGGAAGGTGTCTTGGTGCAGAAAGTGCTAGGTGCCTGTGTTAGTGTTCGTTTCTCTCCATTTTTCCCCCCTCATGACAGTGAGTTTATATGGGTTTTCTAGGAGCTGCACGATTCTGCCTCCCAGGAGGTGACTGGACCAGTGTTTGCAGCTCATCAGTGGGTGAACATGACAGATGTGAGCGTGCAGATCAATGCCACACACGTAGTGAGTATGACAGAGGGCCCTGACCTTCTTACAGGGGCAGAGCACAGCCCATTGTTACTTACTGCTGACCTTCTGTGTCTTTGTTTTTGTTTTATGATCCCTGTTTCAGGCGAAGACATGTAAACCTGCCCTGGGCTACAGTTTTGCGGCAGGCACAATTGACGGAGTTTCGGGCCTCAATATTACACAGGGTGAGAGGGAGGATGGAATGCGTGCTTCCAGGTTCGGAGGCGTCAGGCTTCTGTTTCCTAATGAAGCTTAATTAACTGTGTTCAGTGTGTTTATGACTCCCGTGTCTGATTCAGGAGGCTTCAGGCTGGCCGAGTTTGGCTGTGATGTCTCGATCTCCCAGGGATAGGTGTCTTTTACCCCTTAGCTCTGTTAATGCAAATAGAAGCAGAAACAAATTCTCTTGGCATTTCAGTATATTGATGAACCTTGGTAATGCATTTAGTGTGTGTGTGTGTGTGTGCGCGCGCGCGCGCGCATGTATTTGAACTCACATCTTCACCCTTTGGAAGCAAGGATTTCACTCACTGAACCATCTCCCTGGCCCCAGGTTATTCGTTGCTTTAGGCAGTCATGATTTCCTTGTGATGGCAGTGTGCCAAGACTATAATGAAGAAAGTGGAAAAAAAAAAAAGAACCAACAACCATGAGAATGAGAGAAAATGTTTTTAAATAATTTAAGGGAATTGTACAGAAAATATACTTTAGAAAACCTCCTATAACTCAACAATAACAGTTATCTACTGAGAAATAATTGACAGGCCATATAAGTCAGCCAGTTAAAATACATTTGATGGATTTTAATATGTTGGCAGGCATACGCTCTTCCCATAGTCAACTTTGGAATTTCCTTCACTCCAGCAGAAAATCTGAATATGTTAGCTGTAACATCACTGCCACTGTATAAGCAACCAATATAAGCCTCCCATCTTTATAGTTTTCTACTTTAGATATTTTATATGAATGGAAACACACAATATCTGGGTTTTTCATTGCATCTTTTATGTAGCATTGTGCTTTTAAGGTACAAGGAGCTATAGATGTGGAAACATACCATTCTTTTTATGGCCGAATTAGTTCATGGTATCAATATACCAGATGTTACTTGCCATTCTCTTAGTTGATGGCTCTTGGGGTTGCTCCACTTTTTAAAAATACATTATGAATAATGAGGTCCTTAGTACATATGTCCAAGGGCTTGGGTGGGTCTATGTTTGCAGTTTTCTTCTTGGGTGTGTATCTAGAGGAGAGCTTGCTGGTTATATGCTAACTGTGTCTTAACATCTGAAGCCCTATCATATAAGCTCCAGAATGGCTATGTTGTTTTATGTCTGCGCCCTCAATCTAGCCATTCAGTTGTTCCACATCTTCATCAATACTTGTTATCTAGCATGCTGATTCTAGTCAGCATGTATGTGGAATGAGGTCTCTTAGTTTATTTTAGATTTGCATCTGCTTGATAATGTCGTAGGTCTTTTTGTGTGATTATTGGCCGTCATCTGTATTTTTTGAAAAGTATTTATTTATATATTCTTTTTTAAGTTTGGGTTTTCGGTTGAAACTATTGAGTTATGAGGTTTTCTAAAATATATTTTTGTGTACAAACCCCTCATCAGATAAATTATTTGAAAAAATTCCCTACTTTGATAGGTTGTCTTTGCAATTTTATGATTATATTCTTTGAGACAAAAATGTCTAGATCAGTTTCCTTTTTGTGACTAGTGGCTTACCATCACACCCAAGAACCATGCATCATCATTAAGGCTTACCCTCTAATTCCAAAAGTTTTACTGTTTTAGTCTTCATGCCAGACAGCTTCTATTCCATGTTGAAGTCATCCTTGTTAATTTTTAAAATGAGAAAAAGATGATGCAGTTCACAAATATGTGGATTATAAAACTGTCTTTGTTTATGACATAAATTAGTTAGGTTAATATAAACCGAACATTGAGATCATCACACAAAATGTATTCTATTATCTTTTATAAAAGTGACAATCTAATTAAGGGCTATTATTTTTTGACATGCAGAAAACACTTCTCCTTTTATTGCTCAAATTGTTGAAGCTATTGAGCAGTGACCTTAACAAAATATTTGATACGTCTAAAATGGTTGTGTGTAATACTATCTAAATCATAGCATCCACAGAGTGCTGGCACAGGGATCTTATTAATCATAACAATCCTAATAGGAACAACAGAAGGGGATCTATTTTGGGACACTATTCGGGACCAGCTCTTGGGCAAACCATCTGAAGAAATCATAGAATGCCATAAACCCAAGCCAATCCTACTTCACACTGGAGAGGTGAGGCATTTGCTTGTCATAATGGAGTGAGAATATTATGCTTTGTTGTGTCTGATCTATAATAAGTGGTCAATATAATAATGATCAGATAATAAATGGCCAATGTCTACTGACCATTTATTAAAGAGCTTATTTAGATATCCTTAAATAATTTATTATTATGATTACATATTTATTACCATCTCATGCATATGTAATAAATATGGGGGATTGTTTAGAAAGGGCAGAGGATGCTTTTGTGCAGATCTCTTTTTGCACATGGGTCCTGAGGATCAAACTCAGAGCTGTGTGGCTAGCACTTTACTTGCAGAGTCTTCTCGGTCGGCCAGACCCCCACATAAATGTTTAGTATTAAAATTTTATTTACATATACATTTATTTTCTATGAGTGTATAGATGTACTTTCATGTGTGTGTGTGTGTGTGTGTGTGTGTGTGTAGATGTATGTGGAGACAGTGGTAACTTCAGATGCTTTTCCTCTGCATTATGTACCTTATATATTGAGACATGGACCCTCACTGGGAACTGGGGCTCACCAATTAGGCTAGACTGGTTGACCAGCAAGCCCCAGGGATCCCCCTGTCTCCACCTCCCAGTGCTAAGATTCTAAGCACACACCATATCACCATGTCTGTCTTTATGTGAGTGCTGCAGATCTAACTCAATTCCTTCTGCTTATTTGACAACATCAGCATTTAAAGTAAGTTTTTGGTTGCTTTTCAAGGCAGGATTTGTTTGTGTAGCCCTGGCTGTCCTGGAACTTACTCCAGAACTCAGTCCAGGCTGAGTTAAAATTCAGAGATCCACCTACCTCTTGTCTCCCAAGTGCTAGGATTAAAGGCATACACTACCACTGTCCAGCTAAAGTATTTTTCTTTTAACACTACTTCAGAATGTAATTTTTTAACATTTGCAGTGTTAAAAATTCATCCCACTATTCACAGAAGCATGATTGTTGGAGTGTTAAGTATTTATAAGGTAGACTCTTCCAGTATCCTATTAAAATTGTTAGGGTAGGAGAAAGAGGGAAGGAAGGGAAGGAAAGACAGTTTCCACTAGTCAGAGTATGGAAAAGTATAGATTCACTTGAAGGAACCTTGGAAGATAAAGCCAGACTTGGGAGTTCTCAACTTAAAACAATGCCAGGGTAAAAACAGAAATGATTGCAATAAACTATTACAGATGGCTTTCTCTATCCATCGAGGAGGCCGGCATTTACCCTGCACAGAATGAGGAGCCCACCAAAGCTCCTTCAAATGCTTTAGCACCCTGAGCTTACCAAGGGAGCTTACATTTGAGATTCACATGCTACAGCCAGGACATAAACATGCACATGATGTATTTAATGTTACAGCATAGCTAGAAACGAATCCTATGGATGTGGTGAGAAAGACAAAATCTAGCTTCAAACATGTGAAATTGTTAATTAAGACACTCGTATGACAGTTGGCAATGGAAAGGTTAATTGATACCTAATGTCGTTTTCTTGTATTGGGTCCCAGCTGACGAAACCTCATCCTTGGCACCCAGATATTGTTGATGTTCAGATTGTGACTCTTGGGTCGTTGGCCATAGCTGCTATCCCTGGGGAATTTACGTAAGTTCTTTATAAAGTGTTTTATACTAAACAAATGGATTTCTGTCAGGATTAATTCTTTTTAAAATCATTTATCTGTTGTTGTGTATTTGTGGGTGGGACATATAGGTCTTGACATACCTGTGGAGGTTAGAGGATAGATCCCACAAGTCACCATATGGGTTCTGGAGACAGAACTTGGGTCATCAAGCTTGGTGGCCAGCATCTTTACCTACTGAGGCATCTCCTTGTCCCTGGGCCTAATTTATAGGGGAAGATAGTTTTCTGCTGATCTCTTGTACTATGTTTGGCAGCAGTAACAAATAATTTTTCCTTTTTTTCACTGGGCCTCTGAAGAATAAATCTGTCTATGCTGACTTCTCACCCATGAAAAAGATGGGGAAAGTATGAAAAATCCACAAACTTGGCGTTCCAAAGGTAGAAAGGTGCAATAAATTGTGTTGGTACATGGACTTGAAACAATAGGAAAAGATTTGAACGCATCAGTTTAGATATTGGAAAGACTGAAGAATGTTCTAAGCCTGTATATTTTACAATCTTTCTTATTTTCATTAGAGGAAGTTGTTGAAATAGTTTTTGCATTTTCTTTTTACCTCTTTCAGGAATACATCAAGTTCTTACATTTTACCCAGTGCATTCTTTCATTCCCCATCATCGTTATCTTCTGCTCAGATTATTTCAGTAACCTCCAATTTGGGTTCCTTCATTTGTCCTCTTTCTCAATGCAGCAGTCTCCTGCATTTCTTTTAAAAAGTGGTTCTCAACCTTCCTGATGCTGTGACCCTTTCACACACAGTTTCTCATGCTGTGGTGGCTGTACCATTATTTTCTTTCATATTTCATGTTTACTTCATAACTAATTTTTGCTAATGTTTTGCATCATAATGTAAATTTTTTTTTTTGGAGCTCGAGGTTTGCCAAGGGTGTCATGACCCCAGGTTGGGAACCATTGCTTTAAACCAGGACTCCTCTGTCCAAAACCTTCCAGTCCTTTCCCATCTTATTCCAGGTAATCCCCGGATCATTCCGATTTCCTTCAGGTCCCCGCGCGGTCTGTGTCTCACGAAGCTCCCTGTCTTGGTATCTTTTGACTTTGCCTCTTGTTCGCCCTGCTTCAGTCATGCTGCGCCCTTGTCAAGGTTTTTTTGTATAGCTAGAACTACGAATACACTTGTTAGAGTCACTAAGCATGTTCTGAGCTCAGGGATTTAAATTTCCGGTTCTTTCTGCATGAAACACATTCTCTCTGGTTAGTCTCATGGCCAAGTCTTTTAATTTTTTTTTTAACTCCTCTGCTCGAATCTTGAATAGAGATGCCAATTCTATTCACACTACCTAAAATCATCTTTACCAGCAAGAACCCATCGCTGTCACTCTCCCTTCCGCCGCGCCAGCACCAGCGTCAGCGCTGTTACTACCTCCACCCCTCCCGCCACCCCCTTCCATTGTTACTCGGCTTTATTATTCTCCCCTTATCTTCAGCTCACTTCCTCATTTATGCGGTGGTCACCTTCCATTCTTGGAATGTGATTTCCCTTCCATTAAATCATCAGCATGTAAAAGTGGTCCTGGTAAGCAGCAGATATTCAAGATGATATTGGAGGAATAAATATGAAAATGAAAAAGTACCTACTTGTGGGTAGGGCCAACCATCAAACTTTCTCTCTGCCCAAGCTCTCACTTGTAGAATGCAACTAACCCATTGTGTCGAAACCATGAATAGGAAATGGTGTTGTCTTTTTTTTTTTTTTTTTTTTTTTTTTTTTTTTTNTGTTTTTTTTTTTTTTTTTTTTTTTTTTTTTTTTGTGGCACCAGGGGAGGAGCTCTGGGCTTTGTTCCTGTTAGAAAAGTACTTCATCATTGAGCTCCACCCCAACCCTTGCTGATCTTCCTCTCTTGGTGTTGTTCATTGAATTCATTTCCGTCTTTGGGGCAGTTGTGTTCAGGATTTTCTTTGAAGATAGGCCAGTCAAGAAAAAAAAAGCTAAGCCTTTTCCCCCCACTATCGACTTCCTACATATTTTACTGCTGTGGGTGAGCTAGGCTAAGTTTCTTGGCATTTACGAAAAGCCTTTCTGAATAGTTCCCACACATTCCAAATGGGAGGATGTTTACATAACTCTGCTTTCTTGCCACAGAACCATGTCAGGACGACGATTTCGAGAGGCAGTTAAAAAAGTAAGTTAAATATGAACTACAATGCTAAAATGCTTACACATTTGTATTTGAAAAGAAAGAAATTCCCTATTGAATTATTCTTTCCTAAAATAGCTAAAGTTTGCAATTCTTGAAGGTCGTGGATAGAGATAAATATGAAATGTCAGTAAGGTAATTATAACCAAGTTAAAATATTTTATTGGCATTTACATTTTAATAACTAAAATTGATAATACTTTTATGAAATAAGTAGTAAATTTTGTCTAGAGGTTGCTTAGAATATCACGAATGGTCTAAAGAAAACCTTTGCACTAGGAGGATTTTGTTTGTTCCCTATATTTTCTTGAGATTCAGAATGCATTAAGAATAGTTGCAAAATGACAATCTAATAAATGTCTTGTTTTGTTAGTTTGGGTCTGATTACATGTCTGAATTATATAGTATAAACTCAATATAGTTTTGGGGCAATTACTCTTTAATAATAGGAGTCTATACCCACTGATACGATTATTAAGATTTCCACAGCACCATTGATTTGTCCAACTCTAATGGAGATTAGGTCTAATTTACAAAGTACTCTTTGACATCTCTTTCTTCCTCGGTGGTCTTGGTCATTGGGAAGATTTCCCTTAAGAGGTATGTTTCCTCAAATATCATATGTACTCACTCATAAGTGGCTTTTAGACACAAAGCAAAGAAAACCAGCCTATAATTCATAAACCCAGAAAACCTAGACAACAATGAGGACCCTAAGGGAGACTTGCATGGATCTAATCTACATGGGAAGTAGAAAAGGACAAGATCGCCTGAGTAAATTGGGAGCATGGGGACCATGGGAGAGGGTTGAAGGGGAGGGGAGCAGAGAAAAATGTATAGCCAAATAAAATCAATAAAAAATGAAAAAAAGAGATATGTCTTCTGTTAATAACTCATAGCAATGTGCACCTTATGTGGAGCTCAGATAACAACAGCCTTAAGTGGTGTAAGTCTTTTACTTTTCCCTCCTAGGAGTTTGAATTGTATGGGATGAAGGATATGACCGTTGTTGTTTCGGGTCTATGCAATGTTTACACACATTATATCACTACATATGAAGAATACCAGGTAAAGTAAAAAGTTCTCATGGCTTTCTCTTTTTCTATGCACATTCTTTCTGGACTTCTTCAGCCATGATCCTGAGAGGTGACTTGGTTTTAGGTGGAGACTCAATGAGAATAAGCCAAAGATTATATTTGGTTTGGCACTTGTCACTTCCAATTATATGTCAGCATAATAGTCTCATTGACTCCCACCTTCTCCTGAAACTTGCTTTGTTGGGGGCACTGGTAAGAAACCTGCGTTGTGACATGCAAATGACTACCCAGAATGCACTTGCTGTCTTACGCTTTGGTAAGGCCAATTATGAAACAATCTGCAGACTTACAGAATGTAGGCTGAGGTAGGAAGAGGGGTCTAGTATGATGGCCAAGTGATCGCAGTAGAGATACTGGAAGGGTGTCATGCAGAATACTGCTGTTTCTGTAATGATGAGGGCCCTGCATACTGATGGCCTTGAGGTTCCTGTAGAGTCACCAAAGGCAGGGAGTTCATAATGAGATGCTGAGATGCATTTGGCTCTATTTCTTAGCTCTGTGGTGAGGTAGAAGTCCTTCCACAGAGGGGACAATTAGCAGTCAACTTATCTAGGAGTTACTAAATAGAATCCTTTCTACCCTCATTTTCTTTCAGCCTGGGGGAGATCACTAATATTGCAAAAACTTAAAATAGCCACGGGCACAAAAGGTGGAAGTCTGTAACATCTTTTAGAGTAAAAGAAATCGTGGCCTAAATGACATAAGCAAAATATCCCATTGCCTTTACAATGACTAGGCACAGTTATTCACTTAGGCTGGTTAGTGGAAAATGCTCACATTCTGATTTCACAAAAAAACACCGAGTATTTGCTGGTATTAGATTATGTGAGTGGTCCGGACATCTCTTTGCCGAAAATGCTATACTTCTATAAACAAATTGGTGTATACAAAATGTCTACACCTCTTCTTGTTTTTTTTTTCTGTAGGCTCAGCGGTATGAAGCAGCATCTACAATTTATGGACCACACACTCTGTCTGCATATATCCAGCTCTTCAGTGACCTTGCTAAAGCAATTGCTACGGTAATGAAATCATGTGTGTGTATGTGTGTGTGCATGTGTGTGTGTGTTTCTATGTCTATGATTATCTTCAGGAGAAGGAGGCACAGAATCAAGAAAGAAAACCTTATATACATGTTATTTGACAAATTTTAAATTATATGCAGTTTTCTTTAGGGAAGAAAGCTGAACTACTTGGTATCATTGAGAAAGTAATTCAAAGTTTAATGATAGCAATACTCAAGTTCAATCACTACCATTTAGTAATCACAGTCTTTTGCACATATATTTCACATGTGTATTCATATATAAAATGTATATTTATAAGATAATATGCATTTATATATCTTATAAACATGAAGTGATCTTTTGAAATAAGGAGACATTATTTTTCTCCATATTTTAGATGGTTAAAATTTCTTGAAGGTGGTAAGTGGCCATCTGCACTATAACTATAGCCAGCGTTCACTTTCCAGATTCTCTACTCCCATTCAGAGAGTTGAGTAGACCACACAGATACAGAATATTTGAGATGCTCATTTTCTTCATTATAATATCTCTGAAATTGAGATGTATCTTCCATTCAGAGGACTCTTACCCTTTTAACAAGTAGCATTTTAAATTTCTTGATGGTTCAAGATACTATAAATTGTTCTGATGAATGGAGGCTTAGGTTTGTTGAACTCTAATATTGCCTTGGCATTCACATGTGTGTGTTTCTGAAATGTGTACAACTGATTTAAAGATTCTTAGGATAAAAAAATTCCCATTAGGATACAGTTATTTATATAACTGCAGTTGTGGTACAGACAATTAGTTGACAGGTAGAACAAAGAACTTAAAATAACAAACAGGTCTGTATATAATATATGTAAACTTTATAATTGTAAGTATATTACTTGCCTCATGATAGCCTTATAATAGTAAAAGCTGTGAAATTGCAGCATAGTAAGTACTATACACCCTTTAAAGAAAGAGTGCGGATGTACTGGATTGAAACAGAGGAGATCTACATGCTATAGACAAACTACGACAATTTCATACACCTCTGACTTGAATTGCCTGCTGTATTTGAAATTTTAATACAATATTGGGACTTGAATATACTTTACTTATTCAATTTTTGAACCACAGTGCCCCTCTGAATTTTAGACCTAGTCATTTGGACACTTGGTTCTTGGTCTATATTATGATCACTTAGTTTAAGATTGACTATATGATCTTGAAAACCAACTGAGTGTATTCAATCCCATCTTCTTGCTTGCAGAGTAAGAGGGATAATACATCCCCCACACCATGTATTACTATAAAAATTAGCAGTCCAATGTAAAGGTTAAAAAACATAAAGGGATATTGAAAAAAATGAGATTATTGTTTTTGATGCCCCCATTTAAGTTGGTAAATCTTGTGGAAAACATTATCAGTCAGGGTAATCGTAATTTTTAAATAAAGATATATTTATTATATTATTTAGCTCAGATTTGGGACCAGAAGAGAACCTTGGTAGTGACTTTGGGTAAAAGATTACCCACAGTTTGAGCCAAGCATGTTGGTAGTTGTCTGTAACCCTTGCACTTGGGCTACTAGGGTAGTAGAATCATGAGTTCAGGACAGCTTGGGATATGCAACAATTCCCAAGTAAGTCCAAATTGCATTGCTAAGACCCACTTAAAAAAAAAAGCAAGCAAGCAACCAACCAACCAAAGTAACATCTTAGAAGTAGAGAAATAACTTCTGCTTCCAAGCACGATGATCCATGGTCAATTTATAGCATCTGAACAGAAATGCCACATACTGCACTAGATAGAGACAGGAGCATCCCCCAGGCTTGATTACAAGTTATTTAGTTAAATCAATGAGAGACACTTATCACAATAACCAAGGTAGGTGGTACCTGAATAGGAATGACACTTGGTGTTGACTTCTGACTACATACACATATGCATGAGAACATAAATAAACACATCCATGGGTTTCAATGCTGGAAAATTTAAGCATAATTTCAGTATCATTTCATGAAGTTATAATGTGTGGTAGGTCCCTACCCTGAGCCATGCAATGAAATCAATGGCTGCCCAGAATCTCACCATAATAGTGTGCTTCTGTGTTTCCTTTGTGATCTCTGGATTATACCAGCAAAGTAACCTTCAACAAGAACTTTATTCTAACAGAAACTTTAAATTACAAATATTTAGGCTCTCATTTTAAGCAAGGGTGTCTCATATTTTGCTAAATGTTGTTAGCTTTTTGGAGTGCCTGTGTGTAGATATATGTGTGCCTCCTTTAATAAGGACATTTCTTGGGATATGTTTGGGGGTAGGGAATTTTTTTTAACAAATGCTCTCTGTTTCAGGACACAGTAGCCAACATGAGCAGTGGTCCTGAGCCTCCATTCTTTGAAAACCTGATAGCTACACTTATCCCTAATATTGCGGATAGAGCACCGATAGGCAGACAGTTTGGGGAAGTCCTGCAGGCAGCAAAACCTGAATACAGAGTGGTAAGATTCATGAGGAATTCTATAATGCGTTAAGAATTTGCGTCTGGAGGTAAAAGGAAGGGTGTTGCTTAACGTTGTAACCTTTTTTTAGAGGTACCATATTACTGTTTCAGCAGTGATGATGTTGACGGCACCACAGACAGGCTAGCTTCAGCAGTGATGATGTTGACATCTATTTCCATCTCTACAGAGGTTCTGCAAAAGTGAGGGGAATGGGAAACACTGCTTTTCTCCCTAATGGTTAACTATATAAAATTGGTTTTCTAAAATGCAAATTATTCTCTTTATTAAATAGATGGTCAAAGAACTGTGCACAGGAGTTAGGCCAAGTTGTTTTTTAGATCAAGGGATGAAAAAGCATGCAGAAACGAGCTAGGATCCCCACTACTACATTTTATGTTGATTAGGTGTTTTTTCATTCTCGCTGAAAAAGTGTTAATTCTGAAAGGTTACTTTTTGTAATGAATTCCTTAGGAAATTCCACACTTATTATATAATCAGTAAATTAAATAAATTTACTTGTTCATGAAGCACGATTAATAAAAACTCATAGGTAGAAACTGGGTTCAATCTAAAGGTCAGAAAAATGAAACAGCCAGCCACTAACTCTTACCTCTACTTCAGTCCAAAATGGCAATCCTGCTTCCTGGAATCTCAGAATGAGATTAAGCCTGAGAGTTGTTTCTTCCTGTTTTATAATCCTCTCTAGTTCTGGGATTAAAGGCGTGCACCACTGGGATTAAAGGTTTGCACTGCCCGGTTTCTGTGGCAACTAGTGTGGCTACTGGGATTAAAGGTGTGTGTTACCACTGCCTGGCCTGTACGGCTGACCAGTGGGCCTGCTTTATTTACTTTCTTCAGGCCAGCTTTATTTATTAAACCACAAGTGAAATGCTACTATACTAAAGTATCCATTTCTGGATTTCTCTTTTTATCCAATGAAGCATGACGAAGTTTCATAGTCGGGCTTCATTAAGTAGGAAATGCTCTCGAATGCAGTGTTAGTTTCTTGTTGCTGTGATAGAACAGTTGAGAAAGCGACTGAAGGCGGGTGTGTCGGCTAATTTTCCCACTGCTCTGACATCGTATCTGACGAGATCAAAGGATGGAAGAGTCTGTTCTTGGCTCCCATATGGAGGATGCAAGCCGCCCACGGTGGGGAAGCCATAGCCACAGGCATGTGAGGCAGCTGGTCACACTACCTCCATAGTCACAACAGAGAGGCAAATGCTAGTGTTCTGTTTGCTCTTTTCCTTTTTATTCAGTCTAGTCTTCTAGCCCACGGGATAGTGCCACTCACATTAGCGTGAGTCTTCCTTTGTCAGGTAACCTCCCTGGAACATCTTCATAAAGACCCCAGACATATGTTTCCTTGGTTGATTCTAATTTTACCAAGTTGGTGCTGAGTGTTAAGTATCACGACTATGGAGAGGATTTATTTTGGTTCATGGTTTCAGAGGTTTCAAACCATAACACTTGGCTCCATCGCTCTGGGCTTCTGCCTGGTGAGGTGGAGGGAAAGGGGTGATGGGATTATCTTCCCACTGCAGTGTTTGAGAAGTGTAGGGAAACACGAGGAAGGGCCAGGGAGAAGATAGAGGCTCCAAAGCCACGCTCCAAGTGACCTGCTTTCTCAAGTAGGTCACTCCCTTAATGATTCGTTCAGTACAAGTTCATAGTGGGTAAAAATGGACAAACCCATTGTGATGTTAGTGCCCTCAAACTCCTATCATCTCTGAACAATTCTAATCCCTCAAGCCCCAGCCTTCAATACAGTACCACTGTGGGAGGAAGAACACATCATGTTTAAACCACAACAAATCTGGACTAGGATTTGTGATACTTGGTAGCCATGGCTTGTCTCTGATTTTAGGAGACAAGTATTCAGAGTTCTTCTGTTTATTATTTGTGTGTGTGTGTGTGTGTGTGTGTGTAAGAGTGTTTGCTACATATGTATGGGTACCCATAGATGAAAGAAGGCGGTGATGGCATCTGAATGCTAGCGGTATAGAGCCTGTCCTGTCACTAGCTCTGCAGTCCGGACTGGCATTGAACTCACAGAGATCCGCCTGCCTCTGCCTCCCGAGTGCTGGGGTTAAAGGCGTGTGCCACCACTGCCCCACATGGCCAATTTTTTTTTTTAATTAAAGTTTTTAGTTTGCATAAGGAGTAAGGAGTTTCATCAGGGCATTTTCATCCATGTTTTCTTAGAGTTTCTATTGCTGTGTCAAAATACTATGACCAAAGGCAACTTGGAAAGGAAAGGGTTTATTTCATCTTATAGCTTGATGTCCATCATCCAGGGCAGCTAGACCTGGAACCCGAGGCAGGAATTGATGCAGACGACAAGGTTAGTACAACAGACGGTGGGCTAACCCCTACCATATAAACCGTTAATCAAGAAAATGCCCTACAGACTTGGTTACAAGCCAATCCTATGTAGGCTTTTTCTTGATTAAGTTTCCTTTTCCCCAGATGGCCCTAGCTTGCCTCAGGTTGAGAAAAACTAGCCAGGCCACATGTATGTCATAGTATTTGGCTCCTCTGCTTGGCTTCCCTGGTGCCTTGGTCCCTGTCTGTTTTCACCTCCTATATCTGTTTAAATCTAGAGAAAACAGGCAATGTTTATCAACCCCAATACCCTCTCTTCCCCTCTGCCCCCACTTTAGGCACGCTCTCCACCCCACCATAGTCCCCTTTCTACTCAAAGGCCATACATACTATATATTATATACTTTATACATATTCATCTTCTTTGCATTTTTATATTGTTTTACTTAGTATGCAAAGAAGTGGGTTTCGTTTTTATATTTTCACAATTATATCTATATATAGCATCATATTTTTTCTTATTTGTTCTTTCTTTCCTTCCCCTAAGTCTCCTCAAACTTGCTTTTTCTGATAAGAGCTGGGATAAATCATGATCCTTGGCTTGTCTTGCTGATTTCCTGTTAGAGCTTGTAGAATTCCTCGTTAGGCTAATGTGTCTCTGCTAAGTGCCTTGGGAATCATCTTCCAATGTCCAACCACAGTCTCAATCCCAACAAGCTGATGCAACAAAATATTCATGCGATGGAACACCCAAGCCTGGTCTGGAGTGAAGAAGAAAATCTGCTGTGGTTGTGATTAGACGGCACTTAGACAAATATGGAGCTTGGGGATGAGCATTTTTGTCTGCTTCTGTGATGTCCAGATTTGGTTTTTAAAATATTTTTTGTTAGCATCCAAAACATTGAGAGAAAGAGGTCTGAAGGGAGGGTGGAAGTGGGACCAAGGGAGAATAGTAGAATATACAAGTCATTAGGGCAGAAGTAGGGGATAACTGGGGAGAAGGGGTCAGCAATAGGGTGAAATGGGGCACAGGGAATTGTGGGGAGTGGACAGAAACAAACAATAAGTACATATATTTATCCCAGGGTCACAAAGAAACCTAGTTCCTATCTATTTGAAACGCCATAGTTTTTCTACTGTCATGTTACAATGTCATATATGTATAGGTGACATTTACATGTGAGGCCAAGCTTGCAGTATTTGTCTTTCTGAGTCTTACCTTTTTTTTAAATTCAGTGATCACCAGTTTTATTACATTTCCTGCTAATTTAATTATCCTTCATCACAGCATAAAGTTCTATTTGCTACATTTTCTTTACCTATTCATATGTTAATGAACATGTCCAACAGCTTCCTATCTTAGCTCTTGTCCATAGTTCTGTAATAAACATAGACATGCAAATATTTTTCTGGTATGCTTTGCTGGTTAGATTTTGTCAAGCTGACACACACCGGAGTCGCCTAGAAAGAGGGACCCTCGACTGAGGACTTTCCCTCCTCAGATCCGTCTGTGGGTGTATCTGTGGGCATTTTCTTGATTGGCGATTTTTTTTTTTTAAGAAAGAAGATCCAGGTCTGTATAAAATGGAGAAATCTAGGGGTTGAGGCGGTGCACTCCTCTTCCAGGGAATAGGAGTGTGGCTCCCAGCACCAATGTCAGAGGCTCATAGCCAGCTGTAACTCCACTTCTAGAGGGATCTGAGGCATCTGGCCTCGGACAGCACTTACACTTGGTCAGATGTCTACAAAATGGACATATATGTGCACACATAATTAAAAATGAAATAAATCTTTAAGAAAATGTAGAAAACGAGCTCAGTGCTGCCTTGACCTTTGAACTGTGAGCCAGAACAAGCCCTTTCTCCGGTAGGTTGCTCCTGTCAGGGTATTTTATCATAGGAATAGGAAAAGAAGCTAAGATGGATAAATCTGCAAAGATTTAGGGCATCCTGTAGATACCCTTCACTCTGTTGATGGCTTCTTCTGCTGGACTGAAGAAATATTCTAATTTCATGCAATCCTATTTGTAGTTCCAGATCATTCCCCATGCTGTCGGAGATCATTGTCAAAACTGTCTTTTCTCCAATTAATGTTTGGACAACTTTGTTAATGACCGCGTGGCTCTAACTGTGTGGTTAACTTCTGATTTCTCTGTGGTGTATGTGAGTGTTGTTTCATGATAGGGCTCTGTACACAATCTGAAGTCATTTTAATGTGTTACCCCATTAAAACCTGTAGCTCTGGATCTTTATTTATATATGAATCTGCCAAAATAAAATTCTTCGGCTCCAATTTTCAACAAACTTAGAAGGGCACCACTTAATTAAATAGAGCATGCATACAGGAATGTATATGGAATATATACATTCATATATACAACCATATATATATATGATGCTAGGATGTATAGAAGATAATGTTTCAAATCCGAATGTAGCCAAGAGGCATGTATTAGATTTAATTAGGTGTCATTTTTATTTGCAGGGAGAAGTGGTTGAAGTTACATTTGTAGGTGCTAACCCAAAGAATTCAGCAGAAAATCAGGTGAGCTTCATTGTCTTCTAAATTTAAATCCACTTTTAAAGTTTCCCTTCACTTTACAGGAGAATCGCACATATTCAAAAATATATCAGATTTTTCTTACTTTATTTTTGGAGGTGGGAAAATGTTCAGTGGGTACAGCTGGTGAGGAATTGAATGTGGAACACAGCACACAGGGAGACTGTCCTGGACCCTTCAGAATGTCGTGTGGAGAACAATTCCTGCAGGGCAAACTGTATTTCCAGAAGACACAGACTCAGAGACATTCTCATTTACACATTTAAATTTAGAACTAACTAAGTGTGTTTTCATAGTGAAAGGGGCAAAAAAAAAAAAAAAAAATAAGAAGGCGATTTCCCCTCCTTTCAGGGACCTTTCTGACCCTTCCAGCATTGCTACTCCAGACTGCTTTAGCCTTGGAAAGATCGCACACTGGTACATGCCCTAAGTGTTCTGTTCCATGTGCTTTACATTGGCCGGTTTCCTATTGACACAATCGAATGTTTAACATGGAAAAATTACATAAGAAATAACATGCCTGATGTAAAAACAAGCAGCACAAAAATTAATGAAGTAGGACATGGAAGTACCTCTTCCCACAAATCTGTTTTTTAGAGTTAATTACTGTTAAAAATTTGTTACCAAACATGTCCTGTTTTTTTCTTTGGTGATATATATGATAAACCACACACACACACACATACACACACACACACACACACACACACACATACATACACACAACATGCCTAGAAATAAATGACTGTAGTTTTCTGCAATTTCCGTAATCTTGTATCCAAACGGACAATAGTGGTATAGGTTCTGACTCCAAGCGTCTAATCAAACTAGACGTAGTGACTCACAGTTGAAATCCCAGGACGTGGGAAGTAGAGGCTAGATAACCAAGAGTTGTATGCCAGCCTGCCCTATACAGCAAGGCTTTGTCTCAAAAACTAAAGAAAATTGGTTTGGTAAGGTGACTCAGTTTGTGAAGAAGTTTGTCACCAATCCTGAGGAACCTGAGTTCAGTCCCAACAACCAACAGGGAGGAAGGAGAGAACTGACTTCAACATGTGTGTTGTGGCATTCATACATTCCTCGGAGTACATGCTCAATGACATAAATAACAAAATTTTAAAAATACTAACTAAATAAAAGAAGGTAACCGCCAAAACCACAAACACAAAATCTGTAGAAATTTTTGGAGGAAAGTAGACCTATAAAAGTGGTTTTTAGGTCACTTTTCTACCCTGACTGTGGATATAGCCATTATATTGTCATTCTTCCTAAGGTCCAAAATCACTTGTAATCCAAAACACCTTCCTGCCAAATGAGCTGCGTCCTTTCGGTCTATTCAAACGCAGTTGCTTCATGGTAGAGTTGTGGCAATATATGATGCCACCACATCAAGTTTTGGGAGAGATATTCCAATGTTTTGACAGTCAGTGTGCACCTGTGGTCAAGTTCCTCCAGAACATTTGCAAGGTCAGAACATTCCTTTCTGAAGATATCAAAATGCTGTATGATGCTTGACATCCTCAGAGCACTCATCTCACGAGTACTATGAGGACTATATATTACCTTGTCATATCATGCAAACCTTTACTTTATTTGAAGCTGTATTCTTGGTCTGAAACAAATTGCTCTGTTATAGTTATCTGCCAGTGTAGAAATACACTGCCTATGATATGGTTTCTAGGCATCTATTATTACAGTGGAGAAGTGTCTTTAGCACCCCAGGACAGGGACAATGTATGCATTTTTCAACTTTTTGACTTAGGAAGGCATGTTAACTAATAATTCAGTTACCTGGAGGTAGAGAGAGTGAGAGAGAGGAAGATGCCCCATTTCCTCTTCTCAATCATGGAGTGATTGGAGAGGCTTGCCCTCTTGATCTTGATTTATGTCTTTTTAAAATCTCATTTCACTTTAAATTTCTTCCCAGTCCTAATTTCCAAATTTGCTGTGAATATAATTGCGCTTCCTCAAAATGTCTAAATTTTTGTGCTTTTCTTAAAAAAGAGGTAAAGTATCATTCTGAAGACATTGCATAAAGGGGTGCGCCCAGGAATTTGGGTAAAATCCTGATGCTTGTGCATGGCAGACATTGGTGGGTTGGTGCGTAGCGAAGGGAGCCAGAGCAGACCGGATCTCTCTGTGACTGTGTTGTGCTTGATAAACGGTGTTAATTGTATTTCAGACCCATGAAACCTTCCTCACTGTGGAGAAGTATGAGGACTCTATAGCCGACTGGCAGATAATGTATAATGATGCCTCCTGGGAGACGAGGTAAGCCTGTCTATGTGTTATTTGTCTGTGATGCCTTGAAAACAGTTGCTTCAAAATGTAGCAAGGACAAACTGAAAAGACTTCTTAATACACGACATGATATTAATGATACCGAATTTCCAAGGCTCCTTCCGGCCACATTTAATTATTTTATTTGGCTCCATTTGAACTCTATTGACAGGGAGCAGCCAGCATAGTGTTGGCTTCTTTAGGATTAGGTAAAATGAGATGTTGACTAACATCCTTTGGCTTTTATTTTAGTGTTGTTGGGGTAGAATCTAGAGCCTGGTACACACTGGGAAAGCACTTGTATCCCTGAGCTATGACCCTCTCCAGCTTGCACTGACTTTGTTTTTTTTTTCCCCCATGGTCACAGGAATTTCTTGAAAAACTAGTCAGCCTTCTTGTAAATTGGTTGAAAAATATCCTAGGTGAAGGAGTTGGCATGATTTGGTAGAGTTCATTGCAGAGGTCCTGCACCTGCTTGGTTAGGTTTATTCTTAGATATGTTATATTTTTTGAGGCTATTGTGAATAGGAGTGTGTCTGTGATCTCCTATTCAAGGTGTTTATTGTTGGTGTATAGAAAAGCTTTAGATTTTTTATAAGCTGATTTTGCATGCTGCTATTTTGTTGAAATTATCGATGGTTCCCAGATTGTTTCTGGTGAAAATTTCAGATCTCTTACATATAATATCATTTCATCTGCAAAGAAAAATAATTTGACTTCTTTGTTTCAAATTTATATCTCGTTTATTTCCCTCTCTTGCCTTATTGCTCTAGCGAGTGGTTAGAACATGATTTTGGAAAGAAGTTGAAATAGTGGACAGTCCTGTTTCATTCCTGATTTCAGTGGGATTGTTTCAAGTTTTTCTCCATTTAGGATGATGTTGGCTGTGGGTTGGGGACAGATTGGATATGTCTGACTGGACTGGGATGGGGAATTGGATGTGGGACTCTGGGCCGATCTCAGGACTGGGGAGGATGTTCAAAGAGTGAACTAGCAAGGTCCTGGCATAAGTTGTACACTGCAGGCTGGGCCTGCAGGTTGAAGGTTGTACAGGCAGATTGAAGTCATCTGGTAAGAAGGGGACCTGGGCTGTTGTGCAGAATGAAAATCAAACATTTTAAAGAGCAATGTTATATTTTTTTTGCTTGTTTTCTATTAACAGGCTTTATTGGCACAAGGGACTACTGGGTCTGAGCAATGCAACAATTGAATGGTATATTCCAGATACTGCACAGCCTGGGATCTACAGAATACGATATTTTGGACACAATCGGAAGCAAGAACTTCTAAAGCCTGCCGTCATACTTGCATTTGAAGGCATTTCTTCTCCTTTTGAAGTTGTAGCTACTTAGTGAAATGTTGACAGATCTTGAAGAACAGCTTTTCTCTGTGTACATTATAGAGTGATTTCACACAAATGTGAACTATCAGTTTGATTTCTTTTGTGGCTGTCCCTGCTTGGGGGACAGATAGTTTATTGCTGGTGGGACAGATATGCGTGTTTATGTGTTTGTATGATTATGCATATGCATGCTTACAGGGAAGGGAGAGAAGAGGGCAGAGAGAAAAAGAAAGAATGAATGAATGGTTATTAGTGAATGAGAGACTATGTATGAGAGAAGTTGTCTGGCAATCATGCTTCTTGTGGTCTTCATCCTAAAGCATGATTTTACTTGAGGCTTTGTGGTTCCTTAAGAGATAATTCCCTTTAATATGAAATCTCAGCAATACAATGATAGTATTTGAAGATATGTGAACAATGTTTAACCTATTATTTATAGACTTTTTGAATGAGAATTCTAGAGAACTTTCTAGAAATCCTCTAGATTGATACTTGATTTTCCAGAGAGGTATAACAAGGTCTAATTCACTTTAGGTTAGAATAAGATTATTATATATATTTTCCCCTAGTTGCATTTACAAAGTATCATGTAAACTTACTACAAATATATGAGCCCAGCTAAAATACACCCAGAAAAATTGCATGCCAGATTTTTCTGCATTCAAATGAGCTTAGTTCTTTCAATCTTTGGGATGGGTCTGCCTGGCTCAGGGTTATTGTTCATGTTCAGATCTTTTCTGTGATTGCCTCCAGAGTCCATGTATGTGGATGTCCCTTACAGTGCTTTGATCATGCCTTGAATTCCTCAAAGTGTCCTTATCCTGCTAGATCATGTCTAGTCTTCCCAAGAATTACTAGAAATGGTTTTTAAATGTTTCGCCAGTCAAATGTACCTCAAACTATAAAGCTTTGCCTTGGATGTAGATCTTAAGACAAAAATATTAAGACTGGAAATACAGTCATCAAAGGGGAAATTTAAAAGGCATCTATCTGTTCTCTTAGCAACTACTCACTCACTCACGGTTCTTCTGAATTATGGAATAGTAATTTAAACATACATATCTGGTGTTGTACTCATTCATGTCATATTGAAATGATTGCATAGATGAATCCTCTGAAGAATAGAATAGTCAACCAGAAATCTAAGTTCTGGAGGGATCTTTGACAATCACACATTTTTCAAATCATCTTCTACGCTAGTTATTATGATTTGGGAAGAAAGAGGCCCAAATAATTTTTAAATATTAGTCTGAAAGTAATGTTTTAGTGCTTATGATATAGTCTAACCTATGAGATAGGACAATCTAATATGAATTGAAAGTTCTAGTTGCATTTAAAATTACCTAAGTTAGTTAGTAAAGTCTAGTCATAATATTGCAGGTAGGTAAAGGAGTAGGCATTTTAAGAGAAAATCAATCTTCATTTCAAAAGTACCTTATTTTAAAAACAGAAATGGTAAGGCAGACCTGCACTTTTTTTCCCCTATGGCTTATATACTTAAGCATAGTAGACCAAACCAAAAGGAGCCTAGAGCATGGTTTGCTGACTTTGTTTTCCAGTGTTTCTATGGAGGATGACTGCTGAAGAATGAGCTAATCAGGATTGTCAAGGCTTGTGTAAATATCTATTCTGATGAGAACACCCTACTAAGTGTAAATATTCAAGGACTTAACCCATTTTGAAAATAGTTTATCTCAAAATAAAAAAATGATAGCAGAACCCATGATGTGATTGAAAATGTATTTCCCATGGTTCCAGAACAACACAATGATGTATTTCCCATCACCATTCCCCCAATGAAGCTTTCCTCAAAAAGTCTGCCTAGGAATCCCTCCTTATCATTGGTAACTATGCCATAGTGACCATTGTATCATGCATCTGCGTGCCCAGCCCTGCATGGAAACAAACCACAGAAACATAGTTCCTCAGTAGACTTCTTCTCTTGCAGCTAGTATGCCTCTAGTTTTTGCAGTCTATAAAAAAAAGACAAACCATGACTAGGTCCCTGCATTATATAACCTCTGTTATCTGGGCATTAAGGAACCCCATCAGGTAACTGATTTGATCAGTTCATCTAAAGCCACAGATCCTGTTTGTGTCTCTGTCTGTAAATAATGTCATGGAGCCAAAATGCATGGAAGAAGCTCTGGAAAAGGATATGGGAAGTGGTGGTTGGGTTGGCGAGAGCACTGTTTTGGAGGAGAGTCTGTTTGTCCAACTGTCTGTATTTCACTTGTTGTGCCTTGCCTACTCTGATTTCAAGGATACTGTGATTCCTTTAGAGTGCATAAAACAATTTCTTTTCCAGGTCTATATTTTTATGCATCCTGTAAAAGTTATTATTCTGTAAAATTGTCAGTATTCAAGAGACTATTTAATAATAAATTAAGAACTATACTTGGAAAAAGTGTTTGGGAAAAGTATTTTGTAATGAGAGGTAGTGTGGACACTTGGAAGAAAGATGGAAGAAGGCTGTGGTTCTGTTATTCAAGGTCGGGGTGTTATTCAAGCTTCGTAGATAGATAGTCACTCAAACTGAATATACCCACTCCCAGTTCCCTTCCAACCTCTGAAGGTCTGATGCTAATAACGTGTGTATAGCAGGTACTCTGTGAGCTTCTTGGACAACTGAGACATTTTTTTTGGCAGGTGGCTAGTTATAAAGTTATGAGCTGATTCTGAATAGCAAGACCAAGAATAAATTTACTGATGAACGCCCTTTGTCAACCTGCTGTCTTATATTTCTCATCTAGCATAAGCAAGCCTATTGCTTTTCCATGGTATTAAAATGTGGGTTTTATTCTTAAACATAAATTATCATTATTAGATGATTTCTTCATAACTTTAGTGTTTCAAAATTATGACCATGGTTCCTGAGCATTCACTCTTTCTTGCTTATTTAAACTGGATTTTGGAATCTTTAACTGATAAAATTTCAGGGAAGGAAACAGACAGATACTGTCCCCCACAAAGAGTTAAGATGCGCCCATTTGTAAGTAACAAGATCTTTCTGATTAAGAGTGGTCCAGAGGGTAAGCAAGCTCACATGGGACTAACTCTTGAAGTGACTGATTCAGGTGTGTTCTAGCTCCTCAGTGAAATCCCTGATACTCTTCTCAGCATATTGATATGAATTCTTTGGCTTATCCTCTCAGTCAAAAGATTGCTTTGTACAGCCACATGCAAAAGTAAAGGGGGAAGGGAGATTGCATTTTGGATCTTCCTTTGGAAGGTGGAAACTAGCAAGAATACAAGAAGACTCCCCATTATATTTTCTTCTCCAGAAATGAGCCATGTGATTGATATTCGTAGCTGCAGGGAGGCTTGAAAAGAGACTATTAGATGTTTTCTCCGTTGAGAAATGAAGGCAAATCCTAATAGCAAGAATGAAGAAATGGAGAGCACAGCTTTTTAAAGTTCATCAACAAGACTGATTCTTTTGTAACTTTGGAGATTTACCTCTTGATCCATGATGTATGCCTGGCACTCAGCTGTACACAGCTCATTTTAAAATGATACTTTCGTCTTTGTGAAAGGGGGCCTGTGACTTGGGGAAGTGGGCATGGAAAGCCATATGTCAGCTTTTGACATTACCACATAACTTTTTATTTTTTTATGTATGGCCACATCTATAGCTTACTAACATAAGGAGTGATCATACCTAAAGCCCCACCCTATTTTCTCTTTGAAATAATGACAATGAGTTTTATCCTAGGAAATATATTTTAGAAAAGCCATGCGAACCACCGTCCTCAAGAAGAACTGATAGTTGCCTGGAAAATGTGTGTATTTCTTTAGCAAGTTTGTATTTAACATTTGTGTACTTTGTGGTTGACATTTAATCTTTAAGATAAAAAATGATGAGGCCACAGAGCTGTTCTCTTTATTAGTGAACTTAAAAGTTTAAAGGGCAAAGCAAACAGGTCAACAGACACTGTGAACAACATGGACCCTAATGCTAGATTAGTCCATAGTACTAGAGACGACAACTCAGTATAGCTTAGGGAAATATCCTGGTAGGTTTCCTGGGAAATGACCTCTTAGTTAAGACCTAAAGTACATGAAGAAATTAGTCAGAAGGAAGGGGACATTGTGTTTGTGCTTGTGCCCAGGCCCAGTGTTGTATATAAGCAACGTGTTCCCATGAATGCTCACAGAAGTTATAGACATATAACCCATTGACCGGATTCCCTTCCTTACAGATGTGAAAGTAACAAGATAGCAAAACCTTGAGCAGCCATCAACCACAATGATGGAGCTTTGTGTTAAAGACAACAATGATACAGAAAATACTTGGGGCCCTAAGAGTTTGGAATTGTCAAACAATCCAAACTTGTTTAATTCAGCACTTGGGTCATTTAATTCAAAGTGATAAAAAAATAAGTTCTCACAATAACATTTCGCCTTTACAAGAGCTGGAACTTGAACTTCAATTAATATGTGTAGTAAAGTTCCAGGAAAGCTGTCAATGAGGTGTTTTCTTCTCTGGCTTTAATTAATTAGTTAATTAATTAATTAATGGGGTTCAGCCCATTATGGATGGTGCCACCCCAGGGCTGGTGGTCTTGAGTCCTACAAGAAAGCAGGCTGAGCAAGCCAGTGAGCAGCACCTCTCCATGGCCTCTGCATCAGCCCCTGCCTCCAGATTTCTGCCATTTGTATTCATTCCCTGACTTCCTTCAATGATGGACTGTATTATAGAACTCTAAGTCTAATAAACCCTTCCCTCCCCAAGTTGCTTTTGGTTTTGGTGCTTCATCATAGCAATAGTAACCCTAACTAGGACGGAAGTTGGTACTAGGACCATGGGGTATTGCTGTGACAGACCTTACCATGTTTTGGGGAGGATTGTGGAAGAACCTCGGAACTTTAGGCTAGTTCGCTGAGTGCTAAGAGCTCAGTGGGCTATTCTTTAGAAACTTGAATGATAAGAACATTAAGAGCAGTGTTTATAATGGAGGCCTGGCTTGTGAAGTTTCTGAGGGAAGCAAAGACTCTACCAGAACTTATATGTGAAGAATTTGTCGTGTCTGGTCAGCTAGGGCTAAGTAAGCAGCTGAGATCATGAAGAGGCCAAAACCACTGGAGGAAAATCTTTGTTTTGCTGGGATAATGGATGTTGGTCAGCCGGGACTGCAGAATCAGTTGTGATTAAGAGAGGGCCAGCACTGTTGAGGTGGAATCTTCTGGGAATCTCAAGTTAGCACACAGAAGCTATATTCTAGAGATGGCCATGGCTGTACCTTGTGCTGGCAGCCCAGCTTGGTAGTGTAAGTCACCCAGGTGGTACCAGTTTTGAAGGCATGACAGGGTCATGGGGAAGATGAGGCTTGGTACTATGAGGCAGGGCTGGAGTGTCTGAGGAGAGCGCAGTAGAGATGATGGGTGACAGTGCAGCTCAGTTGCAGCAAAAGACCCCGTATTTTGGAGATGCCAGTGGCACTGCTGCCAAGAACAGCAGCAGCAATGGAGTGGAACTGGCCTGAACTTAGGGAGCGATCTGTGTGGGCTGCAGCATGTGGAGCCAGGAAAAAGGACCCAGGGCCTTTGGAGGAGACTAGGAGATTATGAGTATATTCAAGATGTTGGACATTAAGTTATTCATGCAGTTGGAGCTCTGTTCTGCTGTGAATTGATTGTGACCATTCCCTGCTTCTTCCTTCTTGAAATAAGAAAGTATTTTCCTTATTTTTATTTTCTAGGTGCCTACAGTTGATAGACTTTGAATTTTTTTTTTTTTAAAAAGAGACTGAACCTTTAAAGTGTTTGAATTTGTGCAACTGTGAAACTAAGTTAGCAAAATGTTTTATATTGTGATGTCGACATTAACATGTGATCTTTGGAATGAACAAAAAAAAAAGAAAGGTTGTGGCTTAATAGTCTCGTGTTTTTGTGTCAAGTTGACAAGCGACCAGTTGTGCTGGCTAGTTTTATGTCACGTTCACACAAGCTGGAGTCATTAGAAAGGAGGGAGCCTCAAATGAGAAAATGTGTCTGTAGAGTCAGGCTGTAGGCAAGCCTGTAGGGCATTTTCTTAATTAGCGATTGATGTGTGAGCCCAGTCCATTGTGGTGGTACTGCCCCTGGGCTGGTGGTTCTGGGTAGAAAGCAGGCTGAGCAAGTCATGAAGAGCAAGTCAGTAAGCAGTACCTCTCTGCTTTCCATGGCCTCTGCATCAGCTCTTGCCTTCAGATTCCTGCCCTGTGTGAACTCCTTTCCTGCCTTCCCAATTGTATTGGGCTACAATATGGAAGTGAAATCTGAAAAAAACTTCTCCCTCCTCAACTTGCTTTTGGTCATGGTGTTTCATCACAGCACTAGGAACCCTATCTGGGGCAGATATGGTAGGTTTTTTGTTTGTTTGTTTGACTCTGTTATGTATGAGCTGAATTGTGTTTCTCCCAAAGAGGTAAGTAAAGTCCTTCCCCTGACTGCCTGTCTTGAATGTAGCTTGATTCAGAAGCAAAGTCATTCCAGGTGTAATTTGTTTAAAAGCTGTTATACTAGAGAAGGGTGAGCACCTAATCCAATAATGTGTATAGAATAATCCCTTTCAAAGGAATGTATATGAGGACAAGGAAGTATGACCATGACGGCAGTGGTCACAAGGCTGTCTCGACAGGTTAAGGATGCCAAAGATGCCAGCAAACCAGAATAGGCCAGGAGAGAGGCATAGAGCAGTTCTCTCTTGGTTTCTCAAGAGAAACCTTTCCTGTTGACACTGATCTTAAACTTCCGGACATGGTTGTAGGTGGACTTTTCTTTCCTGCCCACCAGTTTCCAAATAACCAACATAGATACTCAATATTAATTATGAATACGCAGCCAATAGCTCAGGCTTATCACTAACTAACTCTTACAATATAAATGAACCCATTTCTATTATCCATGTGCTGCTCTAAGGCTCGTTTACATCATCTATGAACTTCATGTGGCTTTTTCTGCATCTGACTCATGACTCTTTTGACTCTGCCCTTCCTCTTCCCAACATTCTGTCTGTCCTGAAAATCCTGCCTAGCTACCTGCCAATCAGCTTTTTCTTAAAAAGGAGTGCAGCACATTTTCCCAGTGTACAGAGGGATTATTCTACAGCAACTGGAGCGGTGGAGCAGTATGTTTCTGTCCTTCAAGCCCCTCACTCAACTGTGCTTGGGTAGAACAGCTACAGCCGATGATAACATGGGCCAGCAGATGGATCGCCTCATCTTTGGGTATCAGTCAAAAGAGATTCTTGGATACCTTCTGATTTAGAGGGTTTAGTAATTTATTCTGCTCTTTACTCTGCCCCCACAAGATGGCCATTTTATAGCAACTGATGTTATATAATATTGGTTAGCTATGAGGGTCGCCTATCACTGTCCAGAACTTTAGTAAAATCTGAAGCTAATTTACTTTCCATGAAAAGTCAAATGAGAAGCCTGCCCTGCTGTCTGCTAGGACCTGTGCTCAAGAACAGTTTTAGGCTCCTACACTAAGGCTACCCACCCAGAGTGGTGAGTGCCTGCCTACCGGACAGGCCTCAAGGTCCCCTGCAAGGGAGCCTGGTTATCTTCAGCTTGTGACCCAGGGTCTCCTGTGCTCTACTGGACCCCGCCCTGCCTGCCACGTTCTTCCTTTTGTCACCGGCTCATTGGGCTACCAGGTGTCCCTGTTTAGGTGCTGAGGAGTACCATCTGGACGGAACCTTCGTCTGGCGATGGATGG